CCCGCCCCGAATAAGCACTAGAGCATCTAGTCAAACCATCGATTGTTTGAGTAGCATAATGGCATTATTCTTGAGGTAGCCGAGACACCAGGACAATACAAGCAATCAGGGACCCGTCGGCAAGAATGTGGCTTGCATTAGTCGGTGATACTGTAGTATTCTTCCTCAGCTTATAGCCGAAATTAGAGGCATTAGACGTCTCTGCTTATTTTTTCCCTCACCGCATTAGTGCATTTATCTTTCAGGAAAATGGCCGGGTATGGCCTATGTAAGATTGTCGTTGGTGGACATATAAAGACAGTACATGCCCTCCAACTAATAATCCTTTTGCTCTCATAGTCCCTCAAAGAAAAACCGACTTTCTAGAATCCTATCTTGGGAAGCAGTTTACAACATGCTTCCATCACTTCTTCCTGTGCTCCTGCTTTCAGCGCTAGCAGAGGCATCACCTGGAAAGCGAGCAACTACTGCATCAGCCCACTGCTCAAACTCGGATGGCAAGTACAAGCTCTCATCAATCGCAGCACCCGTCCAGGGAAGCGGCAATCCAGGCTCCGAATCGACCTGGAAGCTGAGCATCGATGACACATCCAGCGGGCACAAACAAACAATTGTGGGCTTTGGAGCCGCTGTCACCGATGCCACAGTCACTTCCTTCAACACGCTGTCCAGTTCCACGCTGCAAGAACTGCTTAATGAGCTGATGACGGGTGCTGGTGCTGGATTCGCTTTGATGCGTCATACGATTGGCGCTTCCGACCTGTCAGGTGACCCGGCGTATACCTATGATGATAATGGGAATAATGCCGATCCATCGATGTCCGGTTTTAACCTGGGCGGCCGTGGAAATGCCATGGCTGCGATGCTAGCTAAGATGAAGTCCCTTCAATCGAGCTTGAAGATTCTTGGTTCCCCTTGGAGTGCGCCGGGGTGGATGAAGCTGAACGGTGTAATTGATGGTACTACGGATAACAATAACCTCAACGATGGATACTTAAGTAGAGGAGGTACTGGGAGTACTGGGTATGCCAGTGCGTTTGCTCAGTACTTTGTCAAGTACATCCAGGCGTACGAGAATCTCGGCGCGCACATCGATGCGATTACCATTCAAAATGAGCCTTTGAATAGCCAAGCTGGGTATCCCACAATGTATGTGTATGACTACGAGTCTGCTCAGTTGATCCAGAACTATGTCGGTCCGGCTCTCGCTCAAGCTGGCCTGAACACTGATATCTGGGCATATGATCACAACACTGGTATGCAATCGACAATCCAGTATGTTTGAGGGAGGATCCCATTTGCTAACAGATAGATATCAGATGTGACATCCTACCCTCAGAATGTCATCAACGGGGCTAGCCAGTATGTCGACTCGGTAGCGTGGCACTGCTATGCCAGCAATGTAGACTGGACAGTCCTCACCAAATTCCACGAGACAAACCCCAACGTCAAACAATACATGACAGAATGCTGGACCCCGGCATCCGCATCATGGAACCAAGCCGCTGATTTCACCATGGGGCCTTTGCAAAATTGGGCATCGGGGATTACAGCCTGGACACTTGGCACAAACGATCAAGATGGTCCTCATCTGTCGAGTGGCGGCTGTGGAAACTGTCGAGGTCTGGTGACTATTTCTAACGGCGGATATACTTTCAACCCGGCATACTATATGATGGCTCAGTTCAGCAAGTTCATGCCACCGGGTGCGATTGCGCTGAGTGGTACCGGAAGCTACACGTACTCCAATGGAGGAGGTGTGCAATCTGTTGCTTCGCTGAATCCAGATGGAAGTCGGACTGTTGTTATCGAGAATACATTCAGTAATGATATTTACATTACTGTTTCCACTAATAGTGGTCAGGAGTGGAGTGGCAACATTCCGAGTCAGTCGGTGACAACCTGGGTGCTTCCTGCGGCATGAGTGAGATTGGTGCTGTTGGCTGAAATGCGACAAGCTACAAGAATCACCTGTGCGATTCGCATTCTCGAATATACAAAGTTTGGTACTTACTTGTCTTGGCATCATTAATCAACACAAGCTATCCAGCTGTTCCCACTGGATTCACTCCTCACCAAGAGACGTCAATCTCCGGGCGTCACTTTAACCTATCTCGTGCCCGTAGTCGTGCAAATTGTGGGGGAGTTAAATAAGCCCAATCTCCAAACAACCCCCGTGCCGCTATACAAGGCTGTGATAGGCCCAACCCCCTCACATTCCCCCAAAAGGGCCGTTCCCGAGCCACAATATCTTTTATTCTTCTTCTTATCGGCCAACTAAACTATTCACATTGACCACGCGACATATTCCACATTGCCTTTTATCCTAAAATGGCCACACAGTCCACCATGACAGAACAAGTTGACAATCCCCCGGATTATGATAGCCTCCCGCCCCGCAGGCCTGACATCGAATGCATACGGACGCCATCGGCCCCTGAACGTAAGCAGATCTTCAACAGGTCTGGTTTTTACCCGTGACTAACGCGACTTTTCCTCAGCACCGAGCGGCTCCGTAAGACGAATTCTTCCAGACCATATTTCACTCATCCTAACCACTCATGATAGTCTCAGGCATTCAAGGTCAACGGAACGATCTACGTAGCAGCCCAGATAGCGAATATGCCTCGTGCGGCGCATCTTAACGAATCGCTTGCAAGTGCGGAAAAGATGATCCGTAATATAGAGGCGATTCTGAAAGCGGCGGGATCTGGTTTGGACAGGATTATTAAAACTACGGTAGGATCTGACATTCTGTGACTTTGGGATCGTTTGGAGCTAAATGTAAATCTTTTTCATAGGTTTATTTTACGGAGAACATGTGGGTTCATTTAATAGAGGGCTTCGAGGTTCTCTACAGACGGATCCTTCCGTTTGCACCGCCGCGAACTACTGTTTTTGTTCCGAGGATGGGACATAAAGGTAATAGACAGGAGATACAAATGGAGGTCATAGCAGTGGAGTAACATTTCTTTGGTCTTCATTTCTCATTTGCATGTTACATTATTTGAGCACTCTCTTTCTCTGTTCAATTTACTTGCGGCACACTTACCACCTTGCATCTCTATTCTGACTGCGGAGTAGAGTTTCAGTGGCGTAAAATACCAGTCAATATTATGATTCCTGGCCTAAGTCACGATGGAGCCTACCCCGTACATTGCAGGTACTTACTAGATTGCATGCAGATCGGACTTGTTTGGTAAGGCTCTGCAAGAACGGGGTAATTCCTACTTTGGGGGGCCCTCTATTAATTTTATAGGAATAAAAGGTGCAGATCTCTGCGAAATTGTCTCACGACAAAGTACGCCGCATATGCAGGTATCCGTTGTGTGTGTTGCTGTCTCTACATGGCCAGCGTCAAGTTGAGCCTGGTTTTGTCATTCCGTCTTTCGTGAAATAGCTTCTATTGGATGCATTCAGAGACTTGGGTCCATGCTCAGCCCTAGAGTTCCTGTCCATTGCTTTCTTTTTGCAGATCGCTCGTATCATGACAGCTATGGCTTTGCATTTTAACAGCACGTTCCTACAACACTGGCAATCATCGGAACAGTTGTATATAGCTTGCTCGATCCTGAATTTAAAAAGCAGGCTCTTCTTTTGGATCGTTCAAATAAATTTCTTGCAATGTATTGAATTCTTGAATCATCTACTCCGTGTGAGGAGTATACTCTTGAGAGTCCTGAGTATCTGAGAAGAAATCAGGCTAGTCATTGAAAGTGGTTTAAAGGGAAACTGCATCACAAGACCAGCCTAATTTCAACTCAGACGGACCCCAGGAGACTCTAGACAAACTAGAACCCTTTAGTCAGAGATGACAGGAAACGGCTAGAGTGCCATGTACAGCATAGCCAATGAAACACAAAGTGTACTATTCAGAAAAAGCAAAAGACCTACCAAGTACTGAGTTAGGTTCACGAGTTGACGATCCCCCAATATTTGTCCGTCTACTTCAGAATCTGAGGCTCTTGGGTTTACTGGTATCTATCAATGCCCAATTCTACCCCGGAATCGCCAAGGCAGGCATATACGTAATACATCGAAGGATTACATTGCTGGGCACCTAAGCTGAATGATTGCATATTGAGCTTGCCAGCAGAAGGAGTAGACATATTTTGGATCAACAACTTCAAGATATAAAAAGGCCCATGTTACCATCAACCTCAGTCGTACAGGCCTACCTCAATTCCATACCTCGCCGAAGAAACGCAATACATCCCTTTAGCTTCAATTCGAACCATTAAATTCTTTCCAAAATGAAACTATTCTTCCAAGGCACCGCAATCCTCGCTCTTCTTATTTCCAACGCATCGGCCGCGCAGAGTGGCATTTTTGTTGCTAATGGCGTGGAGCTCGATATTTACCAATCTGGTGAAGATATCATCTACGGAGAGCCTGTGAGTCGTTTATCTTTTGGACCCTCCTACATACAGTAACTAACTCCATACAGCAAAGCTTGGTCCAGGTACATTTCCGATTAACCCCCATTGTGAAGAACGGTAATTTCTAACACTTACATTTTAGGCAAGAGATCTTGAGGGCCGAGAAACTAACGCGTGCACTAAGTGTGTGGGTCATCATGGAAGCTGTGTTGTAGGAGAGGGGAACTGCTATGCTCCTGATACGTGTGCATTTTGTGGGGGTTGTTCCGTCAACCAGGCTCGTTGCCAGAACCCCGACAAGGAAGGCTGCCAGTGCTATAAATGATTGCTTAGAGGGATCAAAGCAGGGAGTTGGCAGAGTTAGCATTTTCGCACTCACTGGACTTAGTGTTGTTTAAATATTCTCATGATAGTAAAGGACTCCTACAATTCTTTTATTTCCTCCCTCGTCAATACATTTACTTATACCAGATTGCTTCATATTTCATGATCTCATCTACTATGTATCCTCCAGTAATATTCAAATAAATGCAAAGAAGTTCATTGCAAGGGAAAACAGTTATCCAATTCATGTCAAAGATCTATATTTGACTATCAAAACCAGGTCAAACAATGAAAACTTCACCCAAATATATACTCCCACCATCCCTTCTTCCACGTTCGTCCAAACCGATGATTGACACACGCGTTGGGATGATTAAATCCACCCGCCTGACTGTGTCTCTGTCCATTTCCCCAAACACTGATTGGTAACACGCATATTCCACCCATAGATTTATTCGGGGCAGCCTCATCAGCCTGAATACAGACAGGATCCCGAAGTCTATGGAATGGAGCCCACGTCACCCGTTCCCTCAAATCTCCAAGTTCAGCAGAGAGAAGATCCCCTATATCCGCATCTGCATCGACAGATTGTCGAACGAACGGATGTGTCAAAGGAAGCGAAGAGGAAAGTGTATCAAGAATAGCATCCGTAAAGACATCAGGCCCGGTAACTCCTAATATAGTCTTTTCATCATACGCTAGACGGGGGACGAAGCTGCTATGTTGACTGTTGTATTGCCTAGTATGTGACAAGACCCGCACGATGGTTTCGCGGAGAAGCGGACTGAAACGACGTGGTGCATACATTGTATACTGTATCAGCCCATAGCTCCTTGTCCAATGCCAGTCGTGCATAAATTGTTGTGAGGCGTATGGCTCATCGACTTCAATCCCAACAACGAGCGATACATCGGGATGAGGAGTGCTTTCTGTGTATTCGTCGGGTGGGGGTGCGAAGAAGGGCTCTAGTGCTGGACAGGTCTTGATGGTGCGAGCGGGGAAGACATCGATGTCTGCGTAGAAGCCTCCGTAGTACCAGAGAATGAGGTATCTGAGGAGGTCTGCTCGGAGAACATTCCGAGGGTAGGATTTGTATATGGTCGCAATTTCGGGGATGGCGGATAGCTCATTGGCCACGAACTCGGTGGCCCTTTTATCACTGACTAACTTTGGGGTTTTAGTGGAAGTCAACCACGTTATGTAGGATGCGATCAGAGTACTTACAGTGTATTCCCACTCTTTATGTTTTCCCTCAAATACTATTGAGTCGTCCCCCCTGTGCTTTTCATTTTTCGCTATCTGCCAGATTCTATCTTCGGATATGTTGCTTTCCTGAATTTCCAATACGGCCTGTTCAATCTCCTCTAGGGCATTTGATAGTTGTTTTTCATATTGAATATCCGGGTTGTTTCTAAATGGAGAACGGTAGAGAAATCGTGGGGTGTCCTCTACTTGGTGCTCTGGGGGTGGTCGGTCTGCGCGGGTATTGTTCTGAGTGGAAGGAGGATCTGGAAGATGATAAAAGAGGAACCATATGAAGATAATAAATGTTATACAAGCTCCACGACGAGTAAATAAGAGTCTAGATGCCTGCACCCTGATTCTTTTAAGGCTCATATTGGTAGGAAAAGGGAAACCGCAGAGAACGGTGACTTAAAGGCTGATTCACGGAATATTGGAATAATTACTGTCGACTCATTTGATGAAAAGAATCACATATAGAGGAAGTTTAAAGATTCACGTTGCATGTTTGAAGGGATAGGAATGAGATATGGCAAACGAGAGAAAGAAAGGAGAGAGAGAAGTGGGAATCAGAATAGCAAACAAATAGCTGTATCAGGCTAAGGATTGAGCTCATGACCAAAGCCCCTAGGTTTCATGCAGCCTTTGACACAAAAGATCAAAGCCTCGATTTTGCCTCCAGTTTCCTTTTAAATATGTAAAAAACCACCTTGCGGTCTAGTTCTTTGTTTGACGGGGGTCTACTTCGGGTCGATCCTTCAACGCTAGACAAGGATTACCCTGTTAAGATTCAATAGTTGATATCTCCCATAATCTGACGGGGGATTAGCTCATTTTTGGGTTGGGTAGAGAGATATTATGGAGGTATGAGATACCATTGCACGAAGTCAAAGTGTGCTGAGATGGTAGCGGATGAGATCATGACTAGTAAGGTCGATCCCCGGTTCTTGGGGTTGTGTTCTAGAGACTTTACCTGGATGCTTGTATAGATTTTGCCTTCTGATATTCCGGTGTGGCCTTCTCATCATATCGAATGAATGCAAGCTCATCGATATTCGTATCAGGGTTGTCGTCTCGGATGACCCCATCGTCGAACAAGGCCCATCACGGACCAAAACTGGAAATCAAAAGAAGAAAACGTTGAATATGAGAGTTTGACCAAACAAATTTAGGGTCAATGAAAACCATTCTATGTAATCATGAAAATGCCACCATTGTCTGCAATTTTGTGCTGTCATGCATTATATCCTGTCGCTTGTGTTCTAGATGAATTGCTTCGTGATTGGCTGCACCTGTCTGTTCTCTTTGTGGGTAGAGAGACTGCTCAACAATATCTGCATTTAGTTTCTGTTCATCTCGGGAAGACGGAGATTGTCCTGTCTATATAGAAACATGTTAAGTATAACAGACAAATGGCCAGAAAAATAAGGAAGGGTGATTGAAGAGAGAAGAACTCTTGAAGCTTGCTACCAACTAACTACATAGTTGATTGGTTGGTTGGTTACCGGACCTGAAGTTCCAGGCATTGACAATTCATTCACACACGACGTTTCGATTATCAGAGATATTCTGATAGAGACATTCAGCTTAAGAAGAAAAAAAAAACCGCTCCAACTAGTGTAGGCTAGCGTATCTTTAGTTATATCCTGCTGGCAGATCGAAAAATCCTGAAGCGAGGATTCTCCTTCGCTGGATGGCTCGGATATTTCTAGATCGAAGCAATTTCCATTTATTTCACCATTGCTCTTTGTATGATTGTAAATCACGATAGCATACTCTGTGTACGGAGTAAGCCGGTGATGTGAAGCCCGAGAGACCGAGCCAATCAGCCAATCAGCGTCATGGCACGGTACGCCTCACCACTATAGCAAAAAGCCGCGATAGAAACTGGGGCCTGGAGGGAGGGAGCTTGGGATTGGTGATGGACATATAAGTAATGCGTAGCACCTTCTTCGAGTCCTCGATTTCCTACATCTTAGACCATCGGGCTTCTACAATTCGCGAAAATCCATTGCCCAAGAACGATGTCCCAAGATTCTAGCAAGAAGAGCCTTGTCGTCCTGGGTGGTTCCTACGGGGGCGTGTCCACCGCGCACTACCTTCTCAAACATGTCGTCCCTCAGCTACCCAACAAAGCTAGTTATCAAGTCATTCTCATCAGCACCTCGTCACAGGCGATATGTCGCCCGGCCTGTCCTCGCGCATTAATCTCAGATGACATGTTCCCTCAGGAGAAACTCTTCGTCGGTATACTACAGCAGTTCGCGCAGTACCCGAAGGACAGCTTTCGTTTCATCCAAGGTACTACGACGAAGCTCAACCACCACGAACGCTACGTCACTGCGAGCCTCAAAGACGGCAGTACCGAGAAGATTGCATACTATGCGCTTGTCATCGCCACCGGCACATCCACCGCGTCACCCTTACTAGGGCTGCACGGCGACTCTGAGTCCCTGCGCGCTACCTGGAAAACCTTCCGCGAAGCTCTCCCCAACGCCAAACACATTGTCATCGCGGGCGGAGGTCCAACCGGTGTAGAGACAGCCGGTGAGCTAGGCGAATATCTCAATGGTCGCGCCGGCTGGTTCGACTCTAAACTGGAGAATCCCAAGGTCACCATTACCCTGGTGACGGCGGGCTCGAAGATCCTCCCCGTCTTGCGGCCCGCAATCGCGAAGAAGGCGGAGAACTTCCTTGCACAGGTTGGTGTGACGGTTGTCACGGGCTCACGCGTTGCAACTGTCTCACCAACTGATGCAGGGACTAAAAGTGCCCTGACGACCAATGCGACGGTGACCTTGGAAGACGGCAAAACACTCGAAGCCGACCTTTATATCCCGGCTACCGGCGCTGTGGCTAATACCGGCTTTATCCACGAGTCCCTGTTGACGGGTAGTGGCTCGGTAGAGACCAATGTATCCACCCTACGTGTGGATAAAGCTGGTGTGCGAGTTTACGCGGTTGGTGATGTAGGATCGCATGCGCGTCCGGCGGTGCATAATATCTTGAATACGGTCCCCACTCTGTGTGCGAATATTAAACGGGATTTGCTTATTGCTGAGGGGAAGGAGGAAAGTTCCGTTGGCGCCGACCGTGTTTTCATGGAGGACACTCGTGAAACTCAGCTTGTGCCAATTGGAAAGAGCAAGGGAGTGGGCGCCGCCATGGGCTTCCAGTTGCCCAGCCTCTTCGTGTGGCTGATCAAAGGCCGGGACTATTGGCTATGGACCACGGGGGACTTGTGGAGTGGCAAGCAGTGGGCTAAAGAGTCGTGAACATTTCCTTTCCTCTCTTTCCTTTTCTTTTTTTTTATGCCGAGGTCAGGGTCGTAGTATATATATATATGTCTACTATTCGGTTAATATTTAAATATCATAACTAATAATATAATGTCAAAGAGGGCAGTCATATCTTTTCTCGTTTATTACCTCTATCATGGATAGATTCACCCAATCGACCTATCAATAATTACAAAATAAGCGAACCCAACAAAGATACCACAATACCCCCCGCACTGGCAAGTGGATATTTATCCCTGTTTGCTGAGCACGTGATTGGCAAGCTATTTTGCGGGGAAACAAGCTTGGAGACGAGAATTCTAAGCACAGAGTCCTCGATACATTTAGTAAAGGAAAAATAAGATTCAAAGGAGGAAAGCTACATGTCTGCCGATCCTAGATAAGCAATTGAAATTGAAAGAAGAAAAAAGAAAGAAGAAAGAAGAAAAAGCAATAAATAAATAAATAAATAAAAATCGGGAATGCATATCGGCGCGCTATAGGCCGAGATCGGGCTGCGATCGACGAGAGCTGATTCACTCTTTATAATTCGAATCCTCCAAATCGCCAAGATTATCCATTTTACTCTTTCAGCCTTGATTTTCTTAGCCGGAACTGCGGAAGTTACCCCACGTTTGAGGCCCGACATATAGCGTAGCACCTCGGTAACATCCCTATATCGGCGAACCTGTGCTTGACTCAAAAAGTCAAACTCCCCCCTTCCTTTCTTTTTTCCCTGTTATTGTTCTTCCAAGCACTTGCGCAGTATCCCAGCGCAATTCACATCCTATCATGGGTGTCTCTGGTATGTTCGATCCTATAATACACCCCGGGTTTCTTTTTTTCGTCCTTTCTAGGGTTTAGTGGCTCAGCGCGCGCCAGCGCATCGTTGCCTTGAAATCCATGCTGACCGGTTCGTATCTTTCCCACACAGAATCGCCCGCCTATAATGGACAACCCATTGACAAGGGCGAAAGTCAGATCAGTTCCGACACGGACTTCGACCTGCCTCCTCTCACCACTACCACCGCGCGGAAGTTGCAAGCCAAGGTAGATTGGCACATCCTACCCTGTCTGTGCATTTTGTATTTGCTTGCCTTTTTGGATCGGTAAGCTTACCATTGGGTCGTGCGACCAGACATTGCTCGGTCCACGGATATCTGACATCATCATCGACCCTTAGAGTTAATATTAGCAATGCCGCTATTCTCGGACTCAAAGAGGATTTGAACATCATCGATGGAACAAAATACAACACCGCGCTCACGATTTTCTTCGTTCCATATATTATCTTCGAGATTCCGTCAAATATTCTGCTCAAGAAGTTGAAGCCTCATGTCTGGCGTAAGTGTTTTGCTCCCTTCGCGCCCCGTGCGATTGAGAGCAAATTTGGTGAGGGCAGCTTGTTAATTCAAATTTAGTGTCGGGATGCATGTTCATGTTTGGCTTGGTCCTGCTCTTCCAGGGTCTGGTACAGAACTGGGGTGGACTGATGGCCACTCGATTCTTTTTGGGTGTCTTTGAGACAGGCATGTTCCCTGGATGTAAGTGCAAATACCAATGATGACTCCTAAGACAGGTGCTAATCACGACCGCCAGGTTTCTATCTGTTGGGCATGTGGTATACACGCTCGGAGGCTCAAAAGCGTTTCAGCTTCTTCTTTAGTTCCACTTCCCTGGCCGGCGCCTTCGGCGGTCTGCTTGCTAGTGGAATCGCAAAGATGGATGGCATGCGCGGCTACAGTGGCTGGCGCTGGGTGTTCATTATCGAGGGCATTTTGACCAGTGTAGTCGCGATCATCCTATTCTTCTTCATTGCTGATTTTCCCGAGGATGTTAAGTGGCTGAATGAGGAAGAGCGCGCATACATGCGTGCCAAATTGGCCAAAGATGTCGGCAAGGCTGCTCACAACGTTCACTTGGGCAAACGCGAGGTTCTGGGTGTGTTCAAGGATTGTAAGCATAGCCCGAATACTCCCTCTTGCATTCAATTGCAGCGCGCTGACTTCCCCCAGACAAGGTCTTTATCGGAGGCTTTATGTACTTCGGATTGATTGTCCCGGCTTATGGTACAGAAATCATTTCCTTATTACCCTC